GGCCCCACCCCGCACACGATGGCCACGAGGGTCTGCAGAAGCAGCCGAAACGACCCTTGCGCCTCACTTCAAGCGCAAGGGTCACAACCACTCTAAGAGCTCCCATGTGCATCCAAATCCAACTCCCTCCCGTGCCAGCCGCGTCATGCGTATCCAGTTCCCTGGTACGCCTGAGAAGACGAGTGACAAAGAAGAACCTGAGGGACAGATCACGGGATGGGGAGAACTGATATGTACTGTTTGTGGGGAGAGGGAATCCAGACATGCGGGAGAGGGTGGGGAGGGACAAGAATCTGGGAAGGGACGAATCGGATGGGGGCCAATTCGAACACCGGCGGCTATCCCGCCCGCCCAGCCCAAACACGCGCAACATCGGACCCTGAACTCTTCTGACCAGTTCTTCGAAACGGGTCCAGCCGTGGCGACGAGAAGCCGCCTCGAGACCCTCGAGAGAGCGAAGAACGCCAGGGAGGGCCGCCGCCGTCTCTGCAAGAAAGGGTGGCAGAGGCGGGAGCGGAACGGAAGGATGTGGAGGTGCGGCGGGCCTGGGTGGCCGTGCTGGACACCTCCTTGTTGGCCTGCTCGGCCTTTTTCAGGGCCTCCGAGCCCGGCAGAGGCAGGGGCCATCCCTCCAGACGTGCGCTTCTCCCTCCTCCCTCTCGGAGGCGACCAACGATCCAGATGCCTCGGCGATGCGGCGACTCACTTCTGTAGTGCTCGCTTCTTGAGTGCCCACTTTCGATCCGAGCCCCGCAATGGGGCCGAACATGCACGCCCATGCCGCACCGTCGCACGCCCCTGCCCGCGCAACCCTGCAGAGGCCTCAACAGCGTGGCCGCGCGCGTGCGCACATGCCACACCGCGTGCCTTCGATCCCGGCGTTCGGCACCGGTTGCGGCCCCTGGGGGCCGCTCTCGGGCCGCAGGGCCGCGCAGAGACGGGCCCGGGACGACCAACTGCGGTGGGGGCATCGGATCCGGGACCCTTAAGATAAGGAGTCCAGGGTCTGGAAGCCAGTGGGACCCCAGTCGTGGATCGGCCCTGGACATCGCCGCCGCCCTCGTTGGGTAGGGATTCCTTCAGGGTCTGGCGCCTCCTGGGCACACCCCTGAACCAAGGCCCCCACCGTACCCTCTCGGAGGGTGGCCACGTGAGGAGGGCCCAGGACGATGAAGGAGCCCTGGGACACACAAGTGAACGCACACAAATAACAGGGTTCCCCACATTTTCTCAAATTTCCTGGGCTTTTGTCCCCCCCCCCCCCCCCACTTCCTACATTTTCCTATACATTCCTGGGGATCGACGATGGATCGTGTGTGTGTGTGTGTTTTTTCCCTCCCGAGGCGACCAGCTGCCCTCTCGGAGGGTGGCCGCGTGGGGAGGGCCCGCCGAGGCGAGGCAGCGGCGGCCCTCCCTCGCACGCTGTGTGCGTGTGCCGCCCCCCGGAGGCTTCCCGTCGCCACGGCCGGATCTCCGCCTGGAGAAGCGGACAGGGTGGACACCGGGAGGGGTGCACGCTGCTCCAGTCCTCCTCCTCCTCCTCCTCCTCCTCCTCCTCCTCCTTCTCCTCTCTCCCTCCTCTCTCCTCCTCTCTCTCTCCTCTCTCCTCCTCTCTCGTCCTCCGCCTCCTCCGCCTCCTCCGCCTCCTCCTCCTTCCTCCTCCTTCCTCGGCGGAGAGAGCTCAGTGCACGACTCCTCCTCTTTCTAATTCTTCGAAAGTTCTTCGATTTTTTGGGGGGGCCAGGATCCTTTCACTTCTCATTGTTCCGTCCTGGGCCTCTTCCTGGCCTCTGGGAGGCCAGGAACAGTTAGAAACGTGCGCAATGAGAAATGAGCACGATTAGAAATGAGCGACGTGTACGGGGTCAGATCTTGAGCGGGTTTGGGCTGTGCGGGAGAGCCGCTTTTTTTGTTTGTTCCTCGCGGCCATCTGATCACTGGCTGGCGTGCGACCCTATCTGGCAGCCTTGCCAGCCGGAGTCGTCACCTAAGCGCGGCTCTGGCCAGTCAGGCGCAACATGCCTCTTGGGCGAGTTACCGACTTCGATTGATTGGTCTGCCATGCGGATGCATCCCCTTTGGGGTTGCGCTGGAGAGGGCTTGACGGTCCCAACTCAACGCCTGCAAGGCTCGAGATCCTCTGCTATCAGATGTATTATGCCAGAGGCCCAGAGCGGCCCACAACCGCATCGTCCTTATCATCCTGCGCCCCCCCCACCAACATAGCCACCGCCACGAGATGACACCTCAAGGCCGGCGCAAGGCAGGCATACCTCGCAGCCGCGTTGACAAAAGGATTGTGAAACCCACCACGGGTAGGGCAGCCGCGAGAGAGGCACCCTGCGCTTCCCAACATGACGCGTGGGGCTACCCCCTCGACTTGGGTCAGCCCCGCGATGTCGGCGCACTGCACCAGGGGCTGGGAGCACCTTTGGCACGCACTGGCCAGCTGTCGGCCGGGGGGGCGCCCTCCCGGCGCTCATCACGAAGCGCAGCGCACCGGGAGGCTGGAAAGCACATGGCTGGACTCACGCGCAGCACGTCGGGGGGCCACGCGCCGCACACGCGCGCGGAAGCCGAGCGTGCACAGCCACGGCAGGGCCCTGCGCTGGAACGACAGCTTCCCAGCAGGTAGCACAGCAAATCAGGCGCGAATGGCACACAAGCTTGTTCCTGCTCACTCCTCTTCCTCCTCGGCCGAGGCGGACATCAGCCCGTCGAAGAAACTCGCTGGGAGGTGATCGGTGTACGTCTTGCCAAAGCGGTTCAGCTCTCCGGCGAACCGCCTGGCGTAGTAGACCGCGGAACAATGCGCGGCAGAGTTGGACTTCACTATCCCCGTGAAGGTCCTACACTCCACGACCAGCAGGCAGGAGTCGCTCTTGCCGACGAGCCTGCCCACGTGCGACCAATTCGTCCAGAGCGCCTGCTCGGCGAGCCAACTTCCCTTGCTGAGCGTCTCGCCGTCCTCGCAGGGTTTTTGCCCACCCGAGGAGCTGGACCTCTTGCGGAGCACGTCGGACGCGCGTGGGGAGAAGAGGCCCTTCACCTTCGTGCCGCCGATGTTGAGAGAATACTCCAGAAGACCGCTCTCCACAATGTACATGCGGGACTGGTCGTCGTGAGAAGAGAAGATCTCTTCGTCTGGTGCCGGCGTCTTCTCCAGCACCTCTGCGCAGATTCGCTTCACTATCCTTGGGTAGGCCAGGCGGAGAATTGCAAAGAACGGGTGCAAACACACCAATGGCACTCGCACTTCTTCCAAAAGATCGGCCATTATCTCATGAGGCAACAACTGAACCACCCTGGCATCGTGCTCGCGGTATGTCTGCATTCGCTGGTTCCACTCGACATACTTCTTCACCCGAACCGACAACGCCGCAGAAATGTGATGGTTGCTCAAATACCCCCGCACCACACTCTGCTCTGTATTTCTGTCGCTCTCAAGCTGCTGCAGCCGCATCATCATGTTCGTGAGGCTGGACACGAACCACGAGAAAATTATGAAGGCAGATATCACCACCAGGACACCCGTGACCCGCTCCGACAAAGAATTCCCTGGTAGAATGTCGCTGGTGCCCTGGAACTGAGTGATGGCCCAGTGCAGAGACGTGAAGTACAAGTACGCGATCTTCTTGCTCTCGCTCCAGGAAGTGACGGGGTGGTCCAACTCCAAACTATGCACCCATCCGACCTCGCCCTCAGTGGTGGCGGCGTGCTTGCCGATCGCGTACCAAATGCACGATATTATGTGGTTGATCATCACGAGGCCAACCATGTACTTCACGATGCCCAGCGAGCACAACACAACAGGAGAGTTGATCAGGTTCAGGGACTCGCTCAGCACGTGCGTGAACTTCACCAGGCGCAGCAGCCGCAGCACCCGCAGGAACCTTATCGTCTTCATGCCCTTCGAGGCCCTCGCCGCCCCGCAGTTCGTGCAGCTGTTCTCATCGATGAACAGCAGCACCCACAACGGCGCAGTGACGACGACGTCGATGGCGAACCAGGTCTTCACGTACATGGCAATGACGTGCCCAAGCCGCATCTCCAGCTCGCTGTTCTGATAGTAGCCCGTGATGAACGACACGCAAATGTCGAACGACCAGAAGATCTGGGAGAACCAGCTCATGGCCACCAGGAAACTGCCCTGCTCCAGGTTGTAGGCGAATTCGACTGGCATCATGATGATGTCGTAAATCATGAGGCTCAAGCCCATGATCCCAATGCTGATCCGCTTCGGCGACTGCGGGTCCATCACCAGCCTGCTCAAGGACCTTACTACGATGTTGGCGCCATCGTCAGTCACGCTCGAAAAGCCACTGTGCCTCGACTGCCCTGGCAACCAGCCCAACGAGCTTGGCACAATGCTGCGCTCGGCCACCAGGGTACGCCGCAAGAACCCGCTCCCCGCGTGGCCGTGGCTCGTGAACCTGCCCCCGTGCGCCGCCCGCGGATTGAGCTCTGGATTGCTCAGGATGTCGGTCGCTCCCGGCACGTGGCCCCATGCGCGCTCCACCTTGCGGATGAACTCCGGCGGCTGCACCCAGTCGGGGTGGAGGAACAGCAGCTCCTTCGCGGCCATGTCCAGGGATCGGCGCACCAGCGTGGCCCAGCGCTGGTCCGTGGCCGTCGGCTGGTTGCCCCCCGTCGTGGCCCCGTCGGCGCCCTCCTCGCACACGGTGACGGCTGTGGCCCTGCCGCCCTTCTCCTCGCCCTCGCCGCGGACGGAGTCGCTGCGCGGGGTGCGCGCCGAGCGCGTCGAGCGCGCCGAGGCAGGCGCCGCCTCCTCGGCCTCTCCGGCAGCGAGGGCGCCGCCGCCGGCGCAGCCGCCGGCCGCGGGCGGCGCGGCGGCGCCCGCGGGCGGCGCGGCGGCGCCCGCGGCGGCGCCGCGGGGGCTCTGCGGGCCGCCCGCGGGCTCTGGCCGCGGCACCTCGGGCACCTGCGCGCCGGGCGGGCGCCTCCGCGAGGGCGAGCCGGGCGCCCTCGCCGCGGGCGCGCCCGGGGCGGCGAGCGGCGGCTCCGCCCGCGGGGGCGAGGCCAGCTGCAGGGAGACGTAGGCCGCCGCGGCGGGGCGCGCGGCCGCGGTGGGCCTGGGCTCGCCCCGGGCGGGGGGCGGGGCCTCGGCGGCGCCGCCCCGGGGGCTGCTGCGCTGCAGCGCCAGCATCAGCATGCCGACGCGGCCCCGGAGGCGGGAGAGCTCGCCGCGCAGCTGGCAGTTCTCCTCCCGCGCGGCGGCGAGGTCGGCCTCGTGGGCCCTGGCCAGCTGCTGCAGCGCCGCCGCGAAGCACACCTCCGGGTCCTCCTCGGGCCCTGCGGCCTCGGCCAGCGCTCGCGCCGGCTCGTGGTGGAGCTGCGGCCCGGCGTGCGCTGCACCAGGCACCGGGGCGGCAGCTGTCATGGAGTGGCCCCTCAAGTGCACCGCGGCGCTGCCATGCGCTGCCAGCGGAGCGGTGGCGCCCGCGAGGGTCGAGTGGCGCCGCGCCATTATCATAACTTATAATTGATAAATCTATAACGGCCCCAAAATAGCTTGAGCCATGCGGGAGAGCCGCCTTTGTCTTAACTGGCCCTTCTCCGGACCAAAGCCTGTTGTCCTCCTGTGCCACCGGTGGCGGCAGGGCAGGCCGCAGCCTGGCTGGAGGTGCAGACACAAGCAGCGCAGTTGGGATTTTATTAACGCACAGGCACCGCTCAACCGAACTCTCCCCTGAGATACTGCGGGTCAAACGGACATCGCAACACCTTCTACGCTTTTCAAGGCTGCCGATGTATCATTTGACGTTGAGAGTTATTGACACCATGCCGATGCTTCGTTTTAACGGCGGCGACATGAGGTGGACTGCCGCGGCAAAGATGACTTCACTGCGCATTGTGTTCGGAAAGCAGGTCAGATGCCAACTTGTACCAAAACAGAAATGCGTAGACGTTTCTGGCATATTCGGAGTCTTAAAACGCCATAGCAGTGATAATAACTTGCATGACCAAGGCTAGCAAGTTCTGGAGGTTTACGAGTCAGCCTGGCGACGGGCCGAACCGTCGCGTGTAGCGACGGGCGCGTAGGCAGAGGAGTTTTAACCGCGCGTAGCGCCGGGCGTTGCCCTCTCCATGTAGTGCGCGCCGCGGGGCAGCTGCGAGGAGGCCAACATGTCGCCCCAGGACTCCCAAACGTTGAATGCGCCCTGGGCCAGAATCACCCACCTCTTTGATCGGCGCCGATCTGCCAGGGGGTCCCAACGCTGATCCAAGAACCCCGCGAGCACCTCCTGTTTATGCCTATGTCTCTTCTTGTTTCGATGCGTGCCAGCACGACGGTCTTCACCCCGCAGTAGGCCATAGCACCCGTGGCAGCATGTCTTGCTGGAGGACGACCAGCGCATCGTCGGGAGCGTCAGGCACAGGCCTCTTTCGCAGCTCCAGACGGTCCCCCTCTGCGTCCAGGCTGGTCGTGAGGAGCCAAGGCTGCTGGGGAGGCACCCGACATCCGCCTTGGACCTCACCGTTGAGCAGGAAGACGATTGCGCCGGTGTCCACGTCCAGCAGCATTCCAATGGAGTCGCCTCTGTTGACCCTGGCGTACTGGGGCCACCCGTTGTTGTCGAGCCGGCACTGCCGCTCCCTCGGCGCATGCAGCGCGCCACGGAAGCTGCTGCGGCGCCCAGAATAATAGAAGCATCCTTCATCGCAACCTCTGTAGCCCGCACGCGTCGCATCTGGTGTAATGCCGCACCACTGCTCGTCCCCAATCTCGTGCATGACGAACTCAAAGAGGTGCGTCCCGCGAGAAATCGGCGCCTGAGTGACCACGTTGACGTAGTCGACGGCCTCGTCTGCAAAGTGCACCTCGTGACCGCCACCTCCGAGGAGCGAGCGGTTTGGATTGCCCTGAATGTCCCACGAGAATAGCGGGCACTCGTCCACCACCAACGTCAGATCTTGCGGTGGCCCCTGAAGCTCTGTGAGTAGCAGCCCACCAGACAGCACCTGCGTGCCCCTCATCAGCTTCTGCACCGCGGCGGAGATCCCGCAACGGGCCTCAATCTCCCCCTTCAGCAGCTCCACGCTCTCCGGGGCTGGATCCACGCGCGCGATCAGGCCCCCCGCGAGGCTCCGCACCTCCACCGCCGGCGCCTCCGCGGCGCTCTCGGCGCCGCCCGTGCGGCCGGAGTCGGGCCCCTCCCGCCGGCACTCCGCACCCGTGGAGGCCAGAGGCTCCTCGCCGCCGGCCTTTCCAGACACCTGGCGGCTCGGTCCTGTGCAATCGTGGGCCCCCCAGGGCATCTCGACCCCTTCCCCAGGGCCAACTCTTCATCCAAGGCCGTGGCGTGACGGCCCCAGGGCCCAGAGCCGGCCCCCAAGGCGCCGGCCATGGAGGAGGAAAGGCGGACGCCTCGGCTTTTTCGGGCCGCCGGATGTCTGGGCCAATCCTGGCGATGTCGCTCCCAGGGCCGCCAACGCTCGCCCGAGTGATGCTCCCTTGGGTGAGCGGCTCCCGAGGTGCGCGCTCGAGACCGCACACGCCGCCGCCGCCGCCCAAGGCGATGCTGCAGGCGACGTCGCAGGCCCCGTCGCTGGTGCTTCCACAGAAAAAGAAACATCAGCACAAGCACACTCACTTTCGAAGGTCCGCGCGGATTTCTCGGATCCGGCGCTGCACCTCCCTTCTCTGGCACGCGGAGCGCGTCAGAGGCGGCGCCAGGCGGCCCAGCGCGGGTCCAAGAAGTCCGCGCGCACCTCCGACATATTACAAGGAAACTGGAAACACACACGTGGCCAGATTCACAAGTGGAGCATTTGGAGACTACGCGACAGAAAGACATGCGGCCACACGTGTATCCTTCTCGCGCCCAGGCCGGCCACGTCATGCGCACCAAACTTCCTTCTATGTGTGTGTGTGCCCATCTTTCTTCTTCGAAAGCGTTTTCTATTATTTCCGCGTAGCGGTCGTTTCCCTGGGGGAGGGGTGAGGGTGTTTGGGGCAGCCAAGTCACAATGACGCTTGGGCGACGTGGGGCACGCTGGAGCGGGGGTGCGCCGCGATCGCCGAAGTGTGCGCGCGAACGCACCAACATGTGTGTGTGTGTGTGTGTGTGTGTGTGTGGGGATGGTCCAGGCCCGCCCTCCCTTCGTGCGATCGCTACCGTTACCCAGGGGGGGTGGCTTGGCCTGGGCAACGACCGTTACTCGGCTAGGCGTAAGAGCGACCCTGGGTAAGAGTGACCTTTGGTGCGCAGCTTTTTGGGGCGCGAGGGAGCCAAACCCAAGGGCGCGGGCCGTCCATATCGCACCGCGCTCGGCGATCGGGGGAAGCCCGATGAGCCCGCACCAGGGGCCACCTCCGGCGAAAGGTCACCCTTACGTGGAGTCGAATCACGCGCCAGAGATAACAGACAATCTCCAACGCTTCCGGCGGGGACCCTGGCCTCGCTCACCGCCGCGGACGGGGCCCGGCCGCCCGCGCGCAGGCCGACCACGTCCGCGCGCGCGGAGCGCCCCGGCGGCCCGGCGCAAGGGGGCAAGCAGCAAGAGGGGCAGTGCCCCATTGCCCGGCAAGAGGCGGAGGGAGGGAACAGAGCAGAAGAAGTCAAGACGACATGAGCATCGACCTTCCGAGGTCCGCGCGGACTGCTCGGATCGGCGCTGGACCCCCCCAGCGGCGCCTCCTGCGCATCTCCGAGGATTGATGCTTACGTGTTTGCTTCTTCCAGGGAAAGCGGTGGTCCTCACGCGCTGCCGCTCGCGGAAGCGGCCGAAATGGCCTGAGCCAGAAGGGGCTTGGGCCAATCCTGACTGGAACCCTGTGGGCCACTCCGTATTCCATTTTAGTTTAAGGCCCGCATGCAACTATCATGGCGCTACTCAGGTGCACGTTCTTTGCAGACATTCAAGCGACCATCAGCATGCGATTCGGCACTCCAACCACGGTTAAACCCAACTGAATTAACACTCCAGCGATACTTTCTTCAACGTGGTGAAACATATTGTCAACCTGTGGCGAATGTATCAACATTTATTTGGTCGTTCAATTCGCCGGCCCAACGGGCCAGGGCGTGCTAAGATCTCCGGTACCTGGTTAACAATATTTCTAGTTCGCGCGCGCGGGGCGGCCCCTGGGGGTCCCCGGACGAAAAGTACCCCGGCAAGGTCCCGGCAAGTTCGGGTCAGAGATGCCGGAGTTCTGTTACAGGGCCCCAGGACGGGCCAAGAGGTCCCCAAGAAGCCTCCAAGACGGTCCAAGAGGGCCCCGAGACGGCCAAAGATCGCCCGAAGACGCCCAACAGGGCCCCAAGACAGCCCAAGAGGCCTCCAAGACGCCCCAAGGGCCTTCCAAGAGGCCTCCGAAGAGGGCCCCAAGAGGCCAAAATCGTTGATTTTCATTGTTTTTTTCTATGTTTTTTGCGTTCTGGCTTTTTCGGCTTCCGGACGCTCCAAGACGGCCCAAGAGGCCCCCAAGACCGCTCCAAGACGGCCCACGAGGCTCCCAAGACGGCCCCGGAACGGCCCAGGAGGGCCCCCAAGACGGCCCAAGTGCCGCCCAAGACGGACCAAGAGGCCCCAAGACGGGCCCAAGAGGGGCTCAAGAGGGGAACCGAGAACTGAAAAATCGAGCCCTCCGCCCCAGAAGGCGCCCAGGAGGCCCCAAAAAGGCCCCAAGAGGCCCCCAAGAGGCCCCCAAGACGCCCCAAGAGGCGCCCAAGAGGCCCAAAAGAGGCCCCAAGAGGCCCCAAAACAGCCCCCAAGAGGCCCCCAAACTCGGCTAGCCCACAACGGTGCGACAATATGGGCCGGCGGAATGAGCGAAGCGATTAAATATAATTATCCCGGCAAAGCAACCTAACATCGATGTGTAGGAGCATATCTGGAAGCATTCCCCTTAAGATTCGGATGAGAATCCAGTTGTAGAATCCAGTTGTAGAATTCTGCTCAGTTCTCGCAGTCGTAGTCGCATCCTCAGCCTCACGGCAGTCGCAGTCACAGCCTCAGCCTGCCTCAGCCTCAGCCTCAGCCTGCCTCAGCCTCAGCCTGCCTCAGCCTCAGCCTCAGCCTGCTTCAGCCTCAGTCTGCCTTCAGCCTCGCCTCAGCCTCAGCCTGCCTCAGCCTCAGCCTGCATCAGCCTCAGCCTCAGCCTCAGCCTGCCTCAGCCTCAGCCTGCCTCAGCCTCAGCCTCAGCCTGCCTCAGCCTCAGCCTCAGCCTGCTTCAGCCTCAGCCTCAGCCTCAGCCTCAGCCTCAGCCTGCCTGCCTCAGCCTCAGCCTCAGCCTCAGCCTCAGCCTCAGCCTGCCTCAGCCTCAGCCTCAGCCTGCCTCAGCCTCAGCCTCAGCCTGCTTCAGCCTCAGCCTCAGTCTGCCTTCAGCCTCGGCCTCAGCCTCAGCCTGCCTCAGCCTCAGCCTGCATCAGCCTCAGGCTCAGCCTCAGCCTGCCTCAGCATCAGCCTGCCTCAGCCTCAGCCTCAGCCTGCCTCAGCCTCAGCCTCAGCCTGCTTCAGCCTCAGCCTCAGCCTCAGCCTGCCTTCAGCCTCGCCTCAGCCTCAGCCTCAGCCTGCCTCAGCCTCAGCCTGCCATCAGCCTCAGCCTCAGCCTCAGCCTCAGCTCAGCCTGCCTCAGCCTCAGCCTCAGCCTGCCTCAGCCTCAGCCTCAGCCTGCTTCAGCCTCAGCCTCAGTCTGCCTTCAGCCTCAGCCTCAGTCTGCCTTCAGCCTGCCTCAGCCTCCGCCTGCCTCAGCCTCAGCCTGCATCAGCCTCAGCCTCAGCACTCAGCCTGCCTCAGCCTCAGCCTCAGCCTGCCTTGGCCTCAGCCTCAGCCTGCTTCAGCCTCAGCCTCAGTCTGCCTTCAGCCTCGGCCTCCGCCTCAGCCTGCCTCAGCCTCAGCCTGCATCAGCCTCAGCCTCAGCCTCAGCCTCAGCTGCCTCAGCATCAGCCTGCCTCAGCCTCAGCCTCAGCCTGCCTCAGCCTCAGCCTGCCTCTGCCTCAGCCTCAGCCTCAGCCTCAGTCTGCCTTCAGCCTCGGCCTCAGCCTCAGCCTGCCTCAGCCTCAGCCTGCATCAGCCTCAGCCTCAGCCTCAGCCTGCCTCAGCATCAGCCTGCCTCAGCCTCAGCCTCAGCCTGCCTCAGCCTCAGCCTCAGCCTGCTTCAGCCTCAGCCTCAGTCTGCCTTCAGCCTCGGCCTCAGCCTCAGCCTGCCTCAGCCTCAGCCTGCATCAGCCTCAGCCTCAGCCTCAGCCTGCCTCAGCATCAGCCTCAGCTCAGCCAGCCTCAGCCTCAGCCTCAGCCTGCCTCAGCCTCAGCCTCAGCCTGCTTCAGCCTCAGCCTCAGTCTGCCTTCAGCCTCGGCCTCAGCCTCAGCCTGCCTCAGCCTCAGCCTGCATCAGCCTCAGCCTCAGCCTCAGCCTGCCTCAGCTCAGCAGCCTCAGCCTCAGCCTCAGCCTCAGCCTGCCTCAGCCTCAGCCTCAGCCTGCTTCAGCCTCAGCCTCAGTCTGCCTTCAGCCTCGGCCTCAGCCTCAGCCTGCCTCAGCCTCAGCCTGCATCAGCCTCAGCCTCAGCCTCAGCCTGCCTCAGCATCAGCCTGCCTCAGCCTCAGCCTCAGCCTGCCTCAGCCTCAGCCTCAGCCTGCTTCAGCCTCAGCCTCAGTCTGCCTTCAGCCTCGGCCTCAGCCTCAGCCTGCCTCAGCCTCAGCCTGCCTCGGCCGCAGCATCAGCCTGCCTCAGCATTCAAAATGTGGCCCGGGAATGGAATTCTGGGAACTCGAAGAACACGAAGTGGCCTACAGTTGGCTCCGGGCATTCAAAATCATGCCCAGGAATGGATTCTGGGAACTCGAAGATCACGAAGTGGCCTACAGTTGGCTCCGGGCATCCAAAATGTGGCCCGGGAATGGAGTTCTGGGAACTCGAAGAGCACGAAGTGGCCTACAGTTGGCTCCGGGCATCCAAAACGAAGTGGCCTACAGTTGGCTCCGGGCATCCAAAATGTGGCTCGGGAATGGAGTTCTGGGAATCGAAGAGCACGAAGTGGCCTACAGTTGGCTCCGGGCATCCAAAATGTGGCCCGGGAATGGAGTTCTGGGAATCGAAGAGCACGAAGTGGCCTACAGTTGGCTCCGGGCATCCAAAAAAATGGCGTTCTGGGAGGTCAAGGAGCACCAAGTGTGTGACTGTTGCATCCGGTTATTCAGAATGTGGCCTGGGAATGGGGTTCTGAGAGGTCGACGAGCACGAAGTGTGTGACTGTTGGTGAAAAACGAGCCCGGCACAGGCCCAGCCGGCAACTCCCAACGCCTGCCCGGACCCCCCTGTGGAGTGATCTGTGAGCTCTTTTGAGTCAACTAGAAACCTATCAGTCTACGCTGTTAGGTAAATATGTCATGCCGCGCGCGTTACCAATCCTCTTCTGCTCCCATGGTTACAAAGCGTGTCTCACGGTTCGAACGCAAGATGTGTTTGAAACCCCGCTGGTCCCATCGATAGGGGTAACACTTACTGGGCCCTATCCCTGTCGGTGGGGAATATGTCTAACATGATAGCGACGTTGCCTAAACTACGGCGTGAACATCTGGGCCGCTTCGGAACCCAGGAACCATGAACGCTTTCACACACCATTCCCGTTGGACACACTTGCGATGCCGAAGCTGGATGGGGCGGGGCATGATATAAGTGAATGGCATTCGGCCGCGAGAAACTTGGGCAAACTGGTCGCGGTATAATAGCGAAGCGACACGACGGGGCAGGGCCCATTCAAACATGTGCGCGCACAAACATTACTGGGCCGTATTGTGTGTGTATGTATGTATGAAATCTGTCGAACATGAAAGCGACGCGTCTAGATTGCGGCGTGGTCACCTAGGCCATACCGGATCCCAGGAGGAGTGACTGTTTCCACGAACTATCCCAGGTGGGCACACTTGGGATTCCGAAGCTGTGTTGAGCGGGGCATTCTATAAGGATTATCCCGGCAAAGCAACCTAACAGCGATGTGTAGAAGCATATCTGAAAGCATTCCCCTTAAGATTCAGATGAAAATCCAGTTGTCGAATTCTGCTGTTCTCGCAGTCGTAGTCGCATTCGCGATGACAGTCGCAGCGGCAACGGCAGTCGCAGTCACAGCCTCAGCCTCAGCCTGCCTCCTCCTCCTCCTCTTTCTCCTGCTCCTCCTCCTCCTCCTCCTCCTCTTCCTCCTGCTCGTCCTCGTTCTCGTCCTCCTCGTCTTGCTCGTCCTCCTCCTCCTGGTGCTCTCCTCCTCCTCCTCCTCCTCCTCCTCCTCCTCCTCCTCCTCCTGGTGGTCCTCGTTCTCCTCCTCCTGGTGCTCTCCCCCCCCCTCCTCCTCCTCGTCCTCCTCCTCCTCCTCGTCCTCCTCCTCCTCCTCCTCCTCCTCCTCCTCCTCCTCCTCCTCCTGGTAGTCCTCCCCCCCCCTCCTCCTCCTCCTCCTCCTCCTCCTCTTCCTGGTCGTCCTCGTTCTCGTCCTCCTCGTCTTGCTCGTCCTCCTCCTCCTGGTGTTCCTCTCCTCCTCCTCCTCCTCCTCCTCCTCCTCCTCCTCCTCCTGGTGGTCCTCGTTCTCCTCCTCCTGGTACTCTCCCCCCCCCTCCTCCTCCTCCTCCTCGTCCTCGTCCTCCTCCTCCTCCTCCTCCTCTTCCTCCTCCTCCTCCTCCTCCTCCTCCTCCTCCTCCTCCTCCTCCTGGTACTCCTCC